TCTACATCTTATTGTCTTCTGCAGTCTCACAGTTAACCTATAATTACCATTTTCTTCTACTCCATAGATATAACAGAGACCTAAAACCAATATAAGATTATCTATTCTACTTTTTAAAAAATCTCTACTATTTTAACTACTTTCATCTTTCCCAATTTTCCCCAAACTTTTTAAACTAAAATAGAAAAAATTGGCAAGTATTTACTTTTGACAATTTTATAATAATTATTCAATTGTCAGCAGGTTACGGCTAGATACTACTAAATAAATGCAGGAAGACTATGAAGTTATGAGCTCTGTCCAGTCCAAGAGAATTATAAAATTCTTCTTTATTATACCCACAATTAAAAATGATCTAGGAAAGCAGGAAATATCTACTTTTATCTTGGTGACAGTCTCCTGACAGACACATACATATATCACATGTGTACACACACATATATTACATCTATAGTATTATATATATATATATATATATATATATATATATTTTTTTTTTTTTTTTGCAATTTTAGGAATCAAGTCCAGATCTCCTGCATACCAGGCAAGTGCTCTACCACTGAGCTACATATTTAGCCCTAATATGATTCAGCAATTTTCCTCCCAGAAGTTTATCATATACATACTCAGATTTGTACGTTGAAATGAATGCATAGGCTATTCATTTTAGCATTGCTTGTAACAGCAAAATCCTAGAAAACTCCTAATTTCCTATCACTTCTCAGCAGAGTTGTCAAAATAATCCACAGTAAATTTATAAAACATAACAATATGAAACTATAATGTCACAACTCTTCTTAAACTGATATTTATATTTTACTGTTTGAATTCCCTTCATTATACATGCTATTAATATTAATTATGCATTGCTATTAATAAGAATAGCAACTAGGAGGTATTTTCCACTTGCTCTCCAGTGGAATGGGAAAGTGATCTTTCCTTCCCGACCTTCACAGGACTAGTTCGGCACCCACCCAGTGGGAAGGAGCCACCCCTCCCCAGCCAGGTCAGAAGACTTCACAAGGTGCTAAGGCCTGCACCTATTTCTTCGCCTTGGTGTGGCCCTGGTGTATTGATGAAGAGCTCTCACACTTTCTGTTCTTTCAGTTATTGTTCTATACAGTCCGCCTTTGAAAAGCTAACTTGCAAGAGATGCTTTAGTTATCCTATTGAAAAAGATATCAAGAAATCAGAGTATTTTCCCTAATGCTATATATTATTTACCATCAAAACAAAAACAGACAAAAAGCATACTTTCTAATTAAAGTATAGAACCTGTCATTCTTCCCATGAGAACAAGAAAACTCAACTGACAGCCCAAAGGGCTTTCCTTCTCAGTTTAAATCTTCAGTGTTTGCCAACTTCAAAATATTAAATATCTCTTTCCACTAAAATTGCTTTCACAAGAAAAATGATAGTACAACAAAGCTGAAATGATGAAGTGAAATTTACACTCAAATTTTCTGATATTGTAGATCTTAGGAAGTATTTGAACTTTGCTTTACACATATTGTCAGACATATCTCAGACTCCACTGCAGGATGGAGGCAGAAAGGAATGTTACCAAAATTCGCTTCTGTGTTTCCTATTTGACCTTGAGATGAGGTAGGAAAGCATTTTATTTGCTATCAAGTAGAATTCCAAACTGTTAAAAAAAAAAAAAAAAGGACAACTCAATTCCTATAGTATTTTTTCATTAGGAGGTGGTGAGATATATTCTATTAAATTTTATTTAATAGAATTCATTTATTTATCCACATTTTTGGCTTCAGTGATAAAATACAGAAAGCAAGGCCAAATGTGAATTTCAAAAAGTCTAATATCCATTTACCTACAAATCCTCCACAACATGATATTACTATTTAAGTATCCTTTCAGAAGAAAAAGTTATTTTTGTTCATAGGGAATAAGAGTAATTAGTGAAATGAAAAAACTATGTAGCCTGGTCCCTTGAGCTGTCTGTGGTACTGAAAAATGACATGGAAGTTTAAATTTACTGAGCTGTGTTCTTACAAAGCTTCCCCATCACCCTATTTTAATCCAAGCACTTCCGCCCATGACTCACCTGAACTGTTTTATTTTGCCAGCCTGTGTATAAACATTTTACAAAAGGTCACACTGACTTGCTTTCCAAGGTTCTCCATGAAAATGTCAGGGCCTCCCCGTGCTTCACTAAATAATTCCAGGGGACAGAGAACCAGAATATCAGCTCCATCACTTACTGTTACTGAATGCAGTGGGAAATCATATCACACACCAGAAATACACTAGCTCCCTGCTACTATCCAATCATCATACCGTGTCCTTCAGTTTAAATTACATGCTCCATTCAAGGACATGCATTTGGTCCTTAAAGATAAGGAACTATATTTAAAATTCATTATGGTAAACTGAGAGGTACCCATTCACTTAAAAGTTTTTTTATGGAAGAAATATACCTAGTAGAATGACATCAATAACTTTAAAAGAAGGACACAATTTGTCATTTTCCATGAATATACATGAACCTGTGCACTTGTTTTGCTGAGCTTCAGAGTGAAGTGTTCTGAGAGCTTTGCTGAGATGCTTCTTCGGACAAATTATAACACTGTTACTTTTTGCAGGTTCTTGACTTCCATCTTGATGTCTTTACTCTAATTTGACCGTTTTTTAATTTTACTTAATTTTCAAAGAATCTTTGAGGAAAGTTTAGAGCTTTATTCTGAGAAGGAAGCCCCTCTAGACAAAACACTGAGTATAAAAATGGCATCATCCGAAGTAACAAAATGATATTATCCAAGCCTCTACTTTGAAATAAGTGTGGTAGGCTTACTAGAAACCATATACTACATAAAATAACCCAACTTTTAAAAATCTACCTTCTGTGATGCTTATGTCACAAGATGGTAAAGAAATTCATTGTGTTTATTCCCCAAAATGATTCAATCTTATCATTTTTCTCTCCTAACCAATATAACTAGGCATTTGTGTAAGAGAAATAGTCCAGACTAACAATGAGAAGAACACTTTCAAGTATGAGATGATCTATACAAACATAATTTGCTATATAGTTTCTTAGCTTCTATAAATTTCAAAACTTTGGGTATCTATTTATGACACATAATTAAATTTGGCAGCTCCTCTTAAGTCTCTTATGAGTTATTTCAAAATATCACCCAAGAATTCTTAAAGTCAGTATTTTCATGGAAACACTTTGTCCTTGACATTAACAACAGCAAATGTTCTCCCCATAAAGGCTCATTTAGCCGTTTTCTTTTCAGAAAAAACAGACAAGCCCAGGGAAGCTAATATTCAACAAAACTCAGGAGGTCTCTCCCCTGCAAGGGTGTGTATCAAGGAAAATAACTTTGGCCTCCAAGCAAAACATTTTTTAAAGTTACTTGATTCTTAAAAATATACAATGTCATTCTAGAATAATATCTGAACCATACCTTATTCATATAACAACACTTAGATTGAGGGAGAAATTGCAGATAAAACAATGGCCATGTTTCAGGGCTTTGGCAAAGGAACAGAACACAGCAAGGATCGTGGACCAGAAGTGAGGAGGGGGCCTGTCCTGGCACTGTACTCTCTAGCTGAGAGGGCTGGCAAGCTACCTACCACTCTGACTTCCAGTACCTATGTGTAAACTGAGGCAAAGAACTAGTTTTGTTCCATCTAGCTCTGTCTCCTTTTCAGATATACATGAGAAGATACATTTCTAATGTTTAAGTTAAATTTCAGTATCATTTTATAACATCTGAAAGCATATCAAAAGAATCTTAAAGCACCAAGACTAAATTAAAGATAGATCTGTGTAAATTCTGAAAGAAAATTCAAATGTATTTGCCCTGTTTTGCCAGGGAAGTTGTATTACTTTTCTGCAAATACTTTCATTTTTTGCTAATTCTCACTTCCTACCTTTATCTCCTCAAAAACACACTGTTCAAACTATTAGAAAATATAAATGCAAAATGAAGTAATTTGCCCCATTCATTTGGGGTTAAGTGCACCTTTATTTTGTCTGGGAAAATACTGAGACTGCTTTAAGTTAGTGTCTGCTAATTACTAATTTAAAATTAATTCACTCTAATATTAAATTACATCACATTTACTACACAATGCCTTAAATTTGAAGGCAACCTGAATATGAAAGTTCTATAGTCCCACTGAATATCTAACCATGACTCAAAGGAATCAGAGAATACGTATCTGCGGCAACCCAAAATTGGGAAAATCCCTAGGTATCTTAATTCACCAACCTTAATGTTCCATTGACTATGAGCTATAACACAGTACACAACTGACAAAAAGAGCCATAAATTTCAGTTTTTTTATATCATCAGTAGTAGCCCAATCTAACAGTAGAGCTCCTAGCTGGATTTAAGCAATGCTAGCACCTTCTTGTTAAGGTCAGTGGCCAGAGCTTTTATATGACATTTAAAAAAATAAATTACTGACTGTAGCTAAAAATCTACTCAGCTAAGAGCTATACAGAAGTTTTAAACTAAACTTAATATACTTTTTTGAAATGTTGGGGAATACAGAAAACAGTTTTTTTTTACGCTTATATCAGCTAGCAATAGAACAAACATATTTTGTTCTTTATGCTGCTTTATAGGAGAAAATTCAGATGAACAGGCACCACCCAATATCTTACCAAGAAAAGATGTCTTAAAGAACACACATGTACTGTCCAGATTAAAGACAGTGTATAACTTGTTTTAAGAAAAACAAATGTGACTGATATGGAGAAGTGGATCTGCCTAAAGACAACTAGAGGAAAACTTTAATAATTTAACAAGTACATCTCAGAAACTACTGTATTAAATGTGTAGTACTGCCTTGTTTTTTTCTTAACTTCTTCAAATAGCAGGTCATATGCTGACACTGGAATACAGTGTCTTCCTCACCTCAAACAAGGATGTAACGACTTGCGTAAAGCCCCTGCTGTCTTGCTTTTGCCCAGGCTGATTGCATGGCATTGGGTCACTCATAAAAAGCAGAGCCTAAATTACCTGTATTTCCCTGGCGTGGTACACAATGATCAGACCGAGCAGGATGATCGTGGAGAGACTGATAAGGCATTTCAGAGCTAAGGAATACAGCGACGCCTGCAACAGAGAAGACAACCTTTAAGAAAGGACCACTTTTACCCACCTTCCAGGCCAGGAGGGTCTATGCCCTGCGAGTGTATTCAAATTCATAGCAGGGGTCCCAAGCATGGTAGGGGGACGTGTTGCTTCTGCAGTGTCAGTTCCTTCAGCCCCAAAACTGACCGTGGTGACACACTGCTGTAATTCCAACACTCTAGAAGCTGAAGCAGGAGGACCACTGCGAATTTGAGGCTAGCCTGAGCTACAAAGTGAGTTCAAGACTAGCTTTATCTCTATAGTAACACTCTATAGTCCAAAAGCAAAGCAAAACAACAACAAACAAAAGAACCAATCCCGAAGAGTGCACACGAGGGGGCTCTGGCTCAGCTGCAGGTAAGGCACCAGCAAGAACTCAACAGCTGTACCTGGCCCGCTAGAAAGTTACTCCTGACTTTAAAAGTTGCAAGTTAAAAGCACCTGGACTCCTAAATCTGAGCACCATGGGAAGAACACACACGCCCAGAAATTATTTAATATGCCCGAACGTGCTGAGCACTCTCAGCGCCTCGAGAACTTTGGCGGCACGCGGAAAGGACCCTGCTCCGAGTCGCCTTTTCAGCTAAGGGGTTTACATCCTAGCCCCGTCGCGGTCCCGGCAGGCACTCCCGAACATCCCGGGGACAGTTCCCACCGGTGCCCAGCCCAACCGAAGGCGCCCCGCTCCGGGAGGCTGGGCGAGGGGACAAGCCTGTACCTTGTCGTAGGCGCCCCACGACAGCTCGGTCTCGATGACCATGACCACGATGCCGAACATGCCGAAGATGAGCGCGTAGTCACTGAGCCGCTTGCGCTTCTCAAACAGGGCGCGCCGGTGGCCCAGCTTGTAGCCGATGTTCTGGTTCTTCTTTTTGCTGGATTTCGCGCCGCTGCTGCTGCCGTGCCCGCTGCCACCGCCACCGCCTCCGGTGCTGCCTCCGCCGCCAGTTCCGTAGAGCGCCAGGTTGTTGGAGTTGTTGTGCTCCGGCTTGGACACCACGATCTCCGGGGCTGAGGACGAGGCGGCGGCGGCGGCTGCGGACGGGGAGGACGCGCCGCCACCTCCTCCGACGGACGCGGGCGGCTGTAGGGGCTGCGCCTCCGAGTCCATCTCGTGCAGGTTCCGGCGGGACGCGCTCAAGTTGCTGAGCGGCCGCATAACGCCCCCGTTGTACCTGCAGCTGCTCATGGCTATTTCGGTGAAAGGGTTGCTCTCGCGTCGCGCCTGGGGCTGGTGAAGCTGGTGGTGCGCCGGGTGCGCGGGGTGGTGGTGGTGGTGGTGCGCGAGCGGCGGCCCCGAGCCCAGGCTGCCGAGGCTGCCCGTGGGGCTGGCGGCGGGCTGCAGGCTGTGGCACTGGTGGTACTGGGAGGCGGACGCGGGCTGCTGCGCGGGCTGCTGCCGGAGCGCACTGGCATGGCTGGACGGCGTCAGCTCGCTCACATTGAGCTGGCTGCCCCGGCGCGACGAGCAGCAGCAGCAGCACGACGAGCCCGACAGCGGAGAGGAGGTGCGGGTCCGGAAGGCGCCGCCGGGCGAGGAGGTGCGGAGCAGCAGGGACAGGTTATCCCCCGCCCCAGCCCCCGCCCCCGCCGCCAGGGCACCGGAGGAGGCGCAGCTGTTGCACCGGAGGCATGGGCTGCTGCCGCCGCTGCCGGGCGGCTGGTGCGCGAGGTGCGGGTGGTGGTGCGGGTGCGGGTGCGGGAGGGGCGCGAAGGGTGGGCACGGCTTGTCCTGGCTCTGTTGCTGCTGCTGGCAATGCAGGTGTGAGGAGCGCGGCGGTGGCGGCTGCTCTGGGAAGAAGCCGCGCTGGAACTGCAATGGGGTTTCCATGTCAGAGCCGTTAAAGCTGCAGGGAGACCAGGCGGTGGTGCACCCTGCGCAATGCGTTATGGTCGGGAGCGGGGACTCCGGCTGCTGGTGCGAGGAAGGGCCCATGCCGGCTCCGGTAGAATTGAGGCGGCGAGTCCGATTGGCTGGGCGCACCAAAACAATGGGCATGACATCACCTGCGGGGACCGGGACGGAGTTTGCGGCGCGCGCGGGTTAGGGGAGCGCCTGTGAGGGAGACTGGGAGGGGTGCGCGCAAAGGAAAGCCCTGGGGAGCGCGGGCCGGGGGCTCCGCCTGCTGACTCGCAGCACTGCTGGAGACCGCGAGCCCCACGCGGCGCAGCCGCCCCGGGGGATGGGCAGAGCCGCGCGCTCCCTGCGCGCCGCCGCCCCCCGCGGGTGTGGACCACGGCGATCCCTGCTCTCGGGCCTGCAGCACGCGCGGCTGCCCAGCCCCGGACTGGAGACCCCGCCGCTCCGCCCGCCGCCCCGTAAGACCATCCCGCGCGGAGTGGCCTGCAAGCGGCCCGCCGAGTAACTGCGGGGGCGCCGGCCTTGGGGAGAAAAGTTTGGCGACTAGCGATGCCAGTGCCGCGGCGTTTAGGTGAAACCCGGGGAAGCGACCCCAGCTTCGGGCCCAGGGGAGCAGGTCGGCCCAGCGCGGGGAGCTCCCCGCAGCAGCCGCGCCTGGAGCCCCAGCGTGGGACCGGGCTCCCGCGCTCCAGCCCCAGTGCGCCGCGGCGCGGACAGGGTTAACCGCGGGCTCGGGCCGGGGGAGCACGGGGCGGGGCCGGCGGGGATCCCCGCAGTCCGCGGGAGGCGCCGCGCGGGCTTCCCGGGGCCCCCTGGCGGGGGCGGAGGGCTTCCCCACTCCCGCCGGCTCACATGTGCGCCCTCTGCGTAACATGGAGGGCTGGCGCCCCCGGCCGCCGGTCCCGGGCTGTGGCGCTCAGGCCTCCCGTAGCCGGGTGGGTGGCTCCGCAGGCTGCCTCGGCGGCGCGGGAGCGGCTGCAGCCTGGATCTGGGGGCTCCTCGGTTCCTCCTCTTCCTCACCTGCGGTACAGACACAAAGCAGAGGCTGGTCAGGAATAAGCCAACCGAGCGCTGCGCTTCACCAATCCCCGACTGCAGCATTGGGTGGGAGAGGGGCCTTCGCGGGCTCACAGCCGCAGCCGGGCTGGGAATTACGGGCTCCGTAATGATATGATAACCCCGGCTGAATAATCGCTGCCCAGGCACGGTGCTGGAGTTTTGCTGGAATTGGGTACAGTGATTATTTGCACTTAATAAACCCATAAAATTGTAGTTTTTTTATATTCACCGCGATGTGTTTTTTCTTTTGTGTTGTGTCATAGGAGCACAAAGCGGTGAGAGATCATTGAGAAGCTTCTTTGTTACTGCTCCATCTTAAGTCTTTGTATTTATATTTCTTTGTGTATTGAAATCCCATCTCCATCAAAAATAAAAAGGAAAAATTAAAGAAATTGACCATGTAAATATTTGTTTCCATTTTAAATTGATTTGAAAGCAAGATGTTTATGGTAGTGATTATTATAATGAATTAGACCAAGAAATTTGAAAGCGGATCACCCTCATTAGGTAATTGGAATTCTTAGCAGGATCCAATTTCTTGATACTCTGCTGGGCAGCTGCCCTAAAGTTGCTTACCTGGTATCTACTTATAAGGGGGGTGGGGGGTGGGTGGAGAGTGTTTTCAATGCTGTGGAATGAATAATTCACTTTAGGGTATTCTCTGTGCATTACACAATTTAAATTTTCTGTACATGCCAGTAAATAGATTCAAAAGGAAAAACGGTGCAGGGTTGGTTTTAGACCCCCAACTCTCTGACTCAAGATAATACTTTTAGGACTTGAATTTTTCACCGGTCTTAATAGGGAATAAAATTTTAATGGGTGAAGGTCAGGGACAGCATTCTTGTAATCTGTTATGACTTGTTCTGTATCTCCAAGATGAGAAATTAATAAAACTTTTGGAATATTGAATTTCACCGAACTTTGGGGACAGCTCAGCTGATGTTGCACGAATGGTGTCATTTTGACTTTGAGGGAGACTCGGAAGTTGCACAATGAATAACTGTGGATAAGGACACAACATCAAAGTGTTTTCATCTGACAGAAATTACATTAAACCAAGGAAATAGGCTTCAAAATACTTCCGTTTAAATACAGTTTGGTGGGGTAAAAGGCACAATTGCTAATAATCACCTTCAAAGTAAATACTCAAAATATTTCCCTTTGCAACACACTTATCACCTATATTTGGAAATTTATCTTTTTTTTTTTTTTTTTGTATTTTAGGGAAGGTCTATTAGATCTGACTCCTAGTGATCCGCCTATTTACAGCCTCCCAAGAGCTGGGATTACAGCCCACACTACCACACCCAGTCTCAGTTGCTGTCTCAGGGCGCCCCAGGGGGTGAGGCCGGCACAGCAGGCCCAGAATCCGACCCCTGTACCTGTTTTCAGGTGCTTTAATCCACTGAGTTATTTGGCCGGCCCTATATCTTTCATTGTAAATTTTTTTTAAAATTTATTCACCATATTTTTCATGAACATTGTTATCTCCCCTGCTGGGTATTAACATATTTTTGAATTACTCTTTGAGATTAAATATGTCACTAATCATGGACACAGAGTGCTGAGATTCAAGTTAATGTTAGGATTTTTACCTCTTAAAGTCAGTTCAGGGGAAGGTACACAATTTAGAGAAAAAAATGGAAATTTGTTCCTCAGTATTGGGGATTGTCAGACTATCAGAAACCAGCATAACAGTACTTTAGACTAGCAAATATTTTGAAGTCTCTTTAAAATAATTTAATACTGTGGCGGTAGGACTAGAGGGGACACATTTGTATCCTCTTCATTAGCTACTCAACTGGTCACCCGTTCACAGTGTCTGGTTAATGTGTGCATTCAGAAACTATGGTAAGCCTCTTTTAGCAAGATAGTGAGAACTCATGAGCAAAAAGCCCAAAACATTGTCCTTCATCATACCTTTGGGGCATTTTGTACTATTGGATGAGGACAAAGTTTTATTTTCATGATTTATTGAACAGATAATTTTAAGCTAATAAATACACTTTTAAATATGTATATCATAACGTTGGGATTTTTCTCATGTAGGATTGTCGAGGTACGTATGTGTCAAGCTGTCAGAGCAATGTAAATATTCTTTCACAGTGCATCCCGCCTAGCACTTGTTCATTTAGAGTAAGGAAAGGAGGAAATGAAGAAAGACAAGACACAAAAATAAAGGCCAGCTACTTAAAAGCTTACGGCAAATTACATTTTTTTCTTACCTTTCTGCTAAGGTCTGTATCTGCTAAGGTCTCTAAGTGCTAGAATTTCCCTAGATTAACACCAGAGGTCATACTCATCCACAAAATGCATTTGAAAGCTAATCAATTAAATAACTATTTGCAGCATCATTTTGTGTGTGTGTATGTGTGTGTGTGTATAAAATTATTTTTTCCTTAGCACCCACAAAAGTATCATTCTTACATAATATTTGTTTTATGTAAAACTTGTGCACATGTACATGCTGACAACACGCCCACACAAATACATGTTTTCTTAGGAGGTTTCCCAGGCTACAGGGTCTTGAGCAAAAGATTCAGGATTTTGACACTCCAATCTCATTATTTTACTTAGCTTGGTATTATGCCATTGTTGGTAGTTGTTTTCACAGGGATTATTTGTGTGTGTTGTTTGTATTGTGCCTTTAAAAGCAGTACTCTGGGGAGTGTGACAGACACCTCAGGGGTCCAGGGCAGCTGTTTCTTATACTGAGTGATCTGAAAGAACACATCAACAAACCTACAAAGTAGGTATTTTTCTGAGATTCATTTTTTCTTTTCTGGGCCATTCAGTCATTTTGCGGTGCCAAACACAGAGGTGGTGATAGAATAGAGCCTCTCTACACACATTTTCCTTAGTGATAAATTCAAGTTGGGAATCAGCATAGTGTAAGTCACTCCCTTAGCACAGCAATTTCACATTTCCGGAAACATGAAAGTACTGAAAACATCATTATTTGTAAATACTATATTGTCCTACCATCATGAGTAACATACTACATTTGAAGGGCCGGCCAGATAGCTCAGCGGTCTAAAGCGCCTGCTTAGCCAAGTTGAGGCATACATGCAGGGACCGTGGTTTGATCCCTGCATGCCATGCCAGCCCCGCCCCCAGGGTGGGCTGAGCCAGTCACACCACAAAAAAAAAAAAAAAAAGAAAAGGGAGAAACTGCATGTACTGGTACATGTCTATACTACCCATACTTAGGAGGCTGAGACAAGGGTATCATGAGTTCAAGGACAGTTTGGGCTATGTAGTGAGACCCTATCTAAAACAAACAAAATTCTTTTAAAGGAAAATTTGTTGAAGAGCTAATTCTAATTCATAAAAATTTCTCATTATTATTGTGTTTTCATCTCCAACACTGCATGTGAAAGGCAGAATAGGTTTTATTATCTCCGTTTTGCAGTTGGATAACATCTGGGGGCAGTAGCCACCCTGCCTAATGTAGTAAAGAGGCACAGAAAAGCCAGGTTTCAGGCTTCTGCATCTATGCAGTGTGTCACTTTCACACTTTGCCATGTCTTCCACAGCAGAATAAACTAACAACTGTGTCCACTTACAGAACAAGTAATAACCTGTCATTACAAGGAACTGCCTGTGAGTGGTTTGTGGATACTTCCTCACTGATACTTGGTTTCTATAATCTTGAACTGTTTTCCTGTTGACTTCATTTGATCAACAGGACAATTTATAAAGACATGAAAAAGGTATAGATGAAAGAGCAACACTGGGCTGGCCAAATAGCTCAGGGGATTAAAGCGTCTGCTTAGATGCAGGGCCTGGGAGTTCGACCCCTGAGCCTGCTGTGCATGTTCAAACTGTGGAGGTGTGCTGAGAGGACGATTGAGGTTAGGCGTGGTGGCACGCACTTGTAATCCCAACATTTGGGAGGGTGTAAGCAGGATGAGTCCGCTCTATGCAGTGAGACCCTGTACACCCTGTCCTAAATACACACATACACACACAACAACAACCAAAAAAAGCTAAAATCAAAACAAAGAGCAGCCAAAAAATAAAAATTTGTGAAATTCACAAATGTGTGCAAATTGTATAACATATTCCCAAGTAATTGAGTAAAGAGAATAAATCACTGAGGAAATTTCAAAATATTTACATATAAATAAAGACAACATTCACTGACTCAAAAACATACTATGCATTTAGATGCAGCACCAAGGGAAGTGTGTAGGTGCACATACCTAAAGTGGATGAACAGAATATATCTGACATTAGCTCAAGAATCTGGAAAAAGAGGAGCAAACTAAGCCAAATCAAAGGATAGATAAATTAAAGATATTGAAATTAAATATAATAAAGAGAAAAGTAGCAGAAAAAGTCAGTGAAGCAAAGTTAGTTGGAAACTTCAACAAAATTGTCAAATCCTTAGGTGCATTGACAAGGATGAGAGGGGGAGAGAGAGAGAGACAGAGAGAATATCACTAGTAACTTCAGAGAAATTAAAAGGATCATAAGGGAATAAAATGTACTTTATATGCCAATAAATTAATAAGATGAAATAATCAGAGCCTGTAAATATACAATCTATCAAAACTAACTCATTAAGCAGAAAGTTTAAGTAGGCTGTAAAAAAAATAAAATGATGTTATTTTTAATTTTAAAATTTCCCCTGAAGAAATGACAAGGCCCATATGGAGCTTCACTAGTGAATCCAGTTGTAAAAAATAATATCATTCCTCAGAACCTCTTCCCAAAAAGAGAGAACGAAGAAACACTTCCTTACATTTAATGAGATTAGTATTACTCTGACACTAAACAAAATGCATCATAAGAAAAGAAAGTAGACAAAAAAATCTACTACAAAATACAATGAATCTGAACACAGCAATATATGACAATTACTATATGTCATGAGCATGTGGGATTTATTTTAGGAATGAAAGGTTAATCTATTATTGGAAAATAAATTAGCATAATGTCACATACCAATACAATAAAAGACAGAAACTAATAATAATCTCAATTAACAGAAAGAAAGCACTTGACAAAATCCAAAAATCTTTACATAATAAACATGCCCAACAAAGTAAGAATAATAAGGATTTAAAGAGAAGGACTTCATCCATGTGACAAAAGGCATCAATGAAAAGTCTACTGCTAATATCATACTCCTGAGGAAAGACTAAACGTTCCCAGAATCTCTTCTTTACTTTGAAGACAATGACTCCCTTGTTCTGGCTCCTCTCTGAAGCAGTT